AGATGGAAATGACTCACTTGGCTTAACTAGGCCAGGGGGAGGAGAGTAGTCTCTTACAATAATCTTTCCTAGAAAGGAAAAAGGAGGATGAAAACTGACTTTGCTTACAGCAGGAAAACCTGTATTACCCCAAAATTTGGTGGAAAGGGGAATTGTCTTTGAGTACTAATACTGAATACCGTTAACTTTCATTCAAGTTGTATATAATGTATGTACAGTATAAGGAAGCTTTATGGCATAGAAACATCGAACATTTCTAGTGACTTTATTCAAGAAAACAATTTTGGATGAACATTGAAATCCCTGATTCTTTCTAATTCTTGGAATGTGATGGATCCTTACAAAAATACGTTTAGTTCTGTTCCATAACTGGATGTTTATAGATCTCGTTGGAGTTCAACAAAATTGCCAGGTTGTTTTATTTTAGTAAGTACTTTTGTGGTGACTCAGCATGATAGACATGTCTTAAGTTAACATTTGCAAAGTAAACTGTCACTTTGAGAAATATTTAGTGAATAGGGTGGAACAGAGATAATTTTAAATGCCTACAAAGATGGTAAGTCTAATATTTAAATATTAGGGGTACTGGATCTTCTTTGTCTCCTCACTTGCTCTGTGGAAGAGCATTTAGATTACTGGAACCATGTTGGACTTTCACAAAAGTGCTAAAAGATCTGGCTATTCCTATATGCATTTGGTTTGTGAAATAAACACACACAATTTGGAAACAGATTAGGTGAGCTGCCTCTTTTTGATGTCAAAGAAAATAGATTCAGACAAATAGCATATTCATAGATAATCAGCATGTTCATAGAATTCAGTTCTTTTTCTCTTTTTCTCTATTTCTTCAAGTGTTTGGAAAGAGATAATCGGATTCGCTGCCTGAGTGCCTTTTACGCTACTTGGACAGGGATGCCAAATGTAAAGCTACATTTATTCAAAGATGCTGGCTGCTGTGAAGCCCCACTAGATTTCTTCCCAAGTGCCTGTGTTACATAACCACTCTTACAGTTTTTACTTACAAATGGCTCAGAGTCACGTAAATAGTGAGATGGCCAGTGTATAAAATTGATTAATAAACAAATGAATAAATCCTTCTGCAGCGGCAGTCTACAGTGTACCTGAATGATCTTTCAGCAGATTCTATTGATATTTTAAAAATACTTTTCCAAGTGGGTAGTAGAAAACATCTGCTAGGCTTCCATCCCTATCCATTTTGCTAAGGTGATAGGGTTCCCCCACTCCCAGCAGTTGTTTCTCTTGGATTTATGTAGTCTTATAACTGTTATTGCTGCATAACTATGCTACATTTATTGTTAAATGAAGAAAAGAGTAATTCTTTAGCCATTGTCCTAGTGCTACTTTTGTGCCCTGTTTTCAATAGGCAAATAATTTAAAAGTATAATGAACTAGTGCATCTATTAATAATCTATTTTGCATTTCATGTGATGACGGTACTTAAACCATTGTGAAAACAGGTTTCCAGAGAAGGCAAATTAGTGGCCGCTAGACGATACAAACTCCTATCTGGCGGAAAGAAAATGTGACTGCTCTTTGGAATGGTGAGGGGAATGCTCTGAGCTATTGCTAGTCTCTGTGCAATGTTCTGAACAGAATCCTAGAGTATGGAGGTACAAAAAGTTGGTAGTTTCTCAAGTTCCTCAGACAGGATCTGAACTTGGGCTGAGCAAACTTTTTTTCATCACCAGTTGCATTCAACATGTGTAGGGGAAGTCCATAGTGAGTATGACAAAGCACAAATATATTCTAAACGTCCAAGTTCAGTTGAAGGAATAATGAATAAAAAGAAATATTGATATAAAATACAAATATTAAACTAGATAAAATATAACTTGTGCTGCATATTTTGAAAACATACATATATAAAATTATAAGCCCTAGATTAGCAGACAAGTGGAACCAGAAGATTGGCAGGACTGATGTATTAAAGAGGGTCACAAATGCAATCAAGATATTTTCATGTTCTAAGCCCTTGCCACAAAAACTTGCAGGGACTGAAACTTTTTACTGTCAGGTCTTGGGCTTCCAACTCCAAGGAACAAAGAAAAACAAAGGTACAAATACCCAAATCTAAATTAAAATAGCTCCAAAGGAATGGAGAAAATAAATAAAAAGGCAACCACCACCTTTAACTCAAAAGCAAAAGATCAAGAGGAAGGATCTGATAAGTGTGAAAGGAAAGAGCCACTAATGGAAACATTAGCGCATTAACCTGAATTAGGAGCCAAATACAAATTATAGCCAAAGGGATGGATTAGTCTGGCTTGTAATGTGAATCAAGGGTATATCTATGTTAAAGATCAAGAATTTCCACTTCCAAAGCAAACTTTCTTAGTTCTTGTACAGCCACAACTAACACCTATTAATCCATCAACTAATCCTGCCTTAACCATGAAAGCCAGCTGGGCCAGTCACTCTGTCTCAGCCCAAATCACCTCACAAGGTAGTAGTTATGTGGAAAATAGGAGGAGGAAGGTGTATATATGTCACTACCTTGAGTTATTTATTGAAAAAATAATGGTGGGGTGCAAATAAATGAACTCTCTCTTGTTTTGGGTTCTTCTAGGTGAGGTTTTAAAATAGGGAAATTGCATCCTTCACATGATGTTAGGTTGTAAGTATTTACAGAAAATGCACAAGCACTCAATGGCTTTTGTCTTTGCATTGGTTTCCCCCCAATCCCTTCTTTGCATATCATCTTTCCTCAAACTATCCACTATTCTTTAAACATCTGTTAAGAAGCTCAGTGAAATAGCTGAATAACTCTTTATTCTACTGTTCTCAGTTCATTTTATTTATTTTTATTTATTTTATTTGTCAATCGCTTACAAGATAATAGGTATAAACATGAGTAAGAATACAGGAAATAGGTACGAATAAATGGGGACAATAGGACAGGGATGGTAGGCACAATGGTGCACTTATGCATGACCCTTACAGACCTCTTAGGAATGGGGTGAGGTCAATAGTGGATAGTTTGAGGTTAAAGGAATGTGGGTTAGAGCAGGGGTCCCCAACCACCGGGCCGCGGACCGGTACCGGGCCGTGGAGCACTCTCTACTGGGCCGCAAAGAATTTTTTTTTAAAAAAATGGCGGCTTTCTTCACTTTCGGTGAATGCTGCTGGGATCGGGGATCAAGGACACAAATGAAAGAAGGGGAGGGAGGAAGCAACCGAAGCCTGTCCTTCTCTCTGGGTCAGCTCTCTCAGTTGCTCTCTCGCTCCTCCACCAGCACAGGAAGAAACTGCTTCAAAGAAGCGGGGGGGGGGGGGGCTTTTCCTGTCGCCGCAGCGCCTCCGAAGCGCCCGTTTCTCCCCCACCACCACCCCGTCCGCCCGCCCGCACGCGCGCGCACGGGGTTCAACCCAGTGCTCCATTCTGCCTGCCTGCCTGCCTGCCTTCGTTAATGGTTGAATCGAAACAGCTTCGGCTGAGTAAAAGAGGCGAATAGTTATTATTCTCAGCCGAAGCTGCTCCCAAACAACCAGAAACTAAGGCAGGCAGGCAGGCAGGCAGAACGGGACACTGTGGATTGAAGCGCGCGCGCGCGGGCGGGGTGGGGGTGAAACGGGCGCTTCGGAATAGCTGCAAGCCCCCCCTCCTTCTCTTCTTCTCCCCCCTCCCCCCCGGTCCTTGCAAAAATTTTCTGCTTGAAACCGGTCCCTGGTACAAAAAAGGTTGGGGACCACTGGGTTAGAGGATGTAGCAACAGAGTCAGGTAGTGCATTCCAGGCACTGATCACTCTGTTGCTGAAGTCGTACTTTCTGCAATCGAGTTTAAAGCAGTTTACATTGAGTTTGTATCTGTTGTGTGCTCTTGTATTGTTGTGGTTGAAGCTGAAGTAGTCATTGACTGGTAGGACATTGTAGCAGATAATTTTGTGTACTACGCTTAAGTCTAACCGTAGCCCAAAATCTCAAGCCTGGTAATATGTGGTATTCTGTTGCGAGCAGAGGAGTGTAGTACTCTTCTCGTGAAATACTTCTGGACTCACTTAATTGTATTAATGTCCCATATACAGTGCGGATTCCAGACTGAAGAACTGTATTCGAGTATTGTCTAGCAAAAGTTTTGTGTCTAGTTAGCAATCCGATATTTCCAGAGGAGAAGCTTTGTAAGATTAGATTTGCAACTCTTAATGCCTTTTTGCCAATGCTGTTACAGTGAGCTCTGGCACTTAGGTCATTAGATATGAGTACTCCTAGATCCTTGACAGAGTGAGGATCATCAATGAGGTCATATCCGCCTAGTTTGTATTTGGTGTACTGATTTTTTTTACCAATGTGTAGGACAGAGCATTTGTTAGTCGAGATTTGGAGTTGCCAATTGTTTGACCATTCAGACACATAATCAAGGTCGCTTTGAAGGACAGTAGCATTGTTGGTGGTGTTGAATAGTTTTACGTCATCCGCAAAGAGGACACAGTTGCTTATAAGGTCATTTATATAGAGTATAAAGAGTGTGGGTCCTAGAACGCTACCTTGGGGGACACCGCTGTTAACTGGAGCAAGGTTTGATATAGCGCTCCCTATTTTTACTATTTGTTGCCTGTTTGACAGGAACGCAGTAATCCATTTATGGAGGGATCTGGAAATGCCGTAAGAGTTTAGTTTTAACAGTAGTTTGTCATGTACCACTGAATCAAAGGCTTTGTAGAAGTCTATGTAAATTGCATCTATAGCTTTACCCTGGTCAAGTAGAGTAGTCCATATGTTTTTGCAGTTCTCAGTTCAACTGATATATTCTTTATTCCACTGGTTTGTCATCGAGATGATTTTGCTATTTTTCTCCAATAACAAAGTGATGGTATGTGCCGTCTCTTATTTAATTGCATATCACCCTTGCCTCAAAAGGAAGAGAAAGGGAAGGTGAACAGCTTCGGTTTATGCCAGGGCCCGTAAAACTACATTTCCCAGACATCTCTGCACCCTTCCCCCCCCCCCCCCCTTATCTTCGGATTCCTGCCGCATCTCGGAGTCACTCGCAGCCCTTGCTTATCTGCGGCGCGCCCTGCAGTCGCGGGCTCGTAGGGCGGAAGGGCTTATAGGAGCGAGGCAGGCTAGGCGCTGGCTAGGCAGACTCTAGTCTAGGCGAAGCAGCGCGACACGGAGGCGCGGGAGGCTCGCAGCTTCTAGACTTTGGCAGAGGGAGCTGCCTCGAAGCGCATGTAGGGAGGGAGGAAAGAAGGGAAGATGGTCATTCGGGTTTTCGTCGCGTCTTCCTCTGGTTCCGTGGCGGTGAGTGGAAAAGGGAGGCTGGGGAGCGTGGAAGTCCCAACGGTCAGGCGAGGGAGCCACTGAATTCATTCATCGCCCTGCCCTGCCTCTTGGTGTCCACAAATATTTGGGCCGGACTACAACTCCCATCACGCCTTAGCCCCTCACGAGCCATGTGGCTTGGACGATGGTAGGAGAGTTGTCCATCGCACTCGGGACGTTGTGTTAGGGAAAGAAGGGTATGCCTTCAACAGACCCTTACCACCACCCCGGGGGAAGCTTCTATGCGCCGAGGCTATTGAAATCGCGACCCCGACAGAAAGCAAAACGCGCGCGAAATCTTTCGGTAGAGAACCGGCGGAGCCGAGAGAGAGATTTCTGCCGTGGGCAGCAAAGTCCGTAACACTGGAAAGCGGCGTAGTTGTTTTTCGTGGCTAATAACAGCCTTTTTTTTTCTCGGGAAAGAGAGAGGCGAAGCGAGCTGTCCTATCGGCAGCCTCTCGGTTGCAGAATCTCTGGGTTTGGGCGGGCTGGAATATACATGTTGTAATTTACTAATAATGTTGTTTACTGGCCTCTGGCTCATTTCTTTTAATTTGGTCATCTGAAAGGGCGAAAGAAAATAAGTATACCTCAAAAGCATTACCGTTCGTCACCCTTTCCGAAAAATTGGCATGACCCCCGTTTTAAAATGAAGTAATTAATAGTTAATAATTAATGACCATAATGAATAACACAGTATTTTTTGAAAAAGGAGCCCATATGTAGAAATGGGACTGCTAGGTGCATCAGAAGCCCGTATGCATTTATATGATTTATATATGCCTGTCCACCTCACATAAGTGACTGGGCAATATACAGGATTATAACACAAAACCTACCACACATATCTTCCAACACCCAACGATAAACAATCCACTCACCATCAGCAACACAGAGCTCATCTGAACTCATAACAAAGCTTGTAATTATACACACATAGTTGAGTTTGTAAACACATTAAATTCACCATAAAATTGCTGCTTCAATAGCATTTTTCAATTCACACAAAAACTCAAAAAGTTGTATTTCAGATGCAAGTCAAATTTAAGCCTTGCTAAGATCTTGATAATAAATTCTAATCTATTGAAGGAAGGTGGGAGGATTTACACAAATGATTAGAAAGCAGTGCTAAACCAACACCCACAACTCTTCAAAAATAAACATTTTAGCTTTGTAGCATGTGCTGTTTAAGTAATTAAGCTTCCTCTGTAAATGTGCATAAAAATTTCAGCTGGATGTGGTTGGCATATCCACCATTAAAAAAAAAAATTGGGGGAGTGGTCCCCTCTAATATGTTTTTTTCTCAGTCCTGTTTCTCTCAAGATACTTTTAGTCTTTAGATATTTCCCTTTTGCACAGACACAGTTATATTTTGGCACTGTAAGGATTGTCCTCAAAGAATGTAGGATTGGTGTCTCTTTATATGATAATGTAAACAAAGGGAATCCCCATTAACCCTTTGAAGTTTGCTGTAATAACAGAGATAGCCATCTCTGACCTTCCTGCAGGTGTTGTGCAGTTTGAAAAGCACCAAGTTCGAAAAGGCTCTTAGTCATATTGTACAGGTAGTTTATAATCCCTGGACTTTCTGCTGCTGTAACTAACTTTGCTATCTAGAGAACTCTGTTTGACTTACATATTCTTGTCAAAGTAAGCATAAATATGGACCTGCATGGGCTTTTTATGAAAGTCATTGAAGGAGATTTTCTACACCCATAACTGCTTTTCCTTCAGTGTTTGGGATATTGAACTTTGCCTTCTGTAAAACACACTTATGCTGCCTCTATGGACTCTGAAGTTTCTGATAGATCGGATAGCTGTGTGTGATAATTTGCGTTCTGTCCATTCATGTAATAAATGCTGAAGTACAGTGTGGTTTGGCACAAGTATGTATCATGCTAGGTAGCTGCATCAGCCAATAATGAGTATTTATCCATCTCAGGAGCCTGCTGAGTAATTATTAGATGTTTTTAGAACCTGTATAATGAGCAGTCACTGAACATTCACAATAAAAGCCTCTATCGTAGTAGAACTGTCGGTCTATTTTTAGCAAGTGGTTTATAGTAATACATCATCAAAATGTTTAATCTGTGTCACATATTTAAAAACAATGATTAAAATAACCAAGAAAGCCGTCCCTGTCTCAAATAAAAAACCTGGGATTTTCTACTCACTAGGCTTAGCAGAGCTTATATTTGAGCAGGCATACAACAAGTTGCACTATTTATCTTTGGCTCTCTGCCTATTTGCCTTGGGAAATTCAGGAAATCCTTCCTTCCCTTAAAGTTTATTACTCATTTCCTGGGTGCCATATCTGTAATAGAATGCTTGAACTAAAATAAGCAAATAATTTTCTTGCTCAAAGCAAAAGGACGTGGATATCTAACAAACTTAATGCTAGGGCACTGATGGCGAACCTTTTTGTTGTGTACCGAAAGTGCATGTGCTGGCACCCACAATGCAATGTGCCCCGCCCCCCTGCACATGCGCCCCCTTACCTGCGCATGCGTGTGCCTCCAAGCTGATTTTTGGCCCGTTTGAGGCTGTTTTTGCCTTCCCGGAGGCTCAAGGGAAACCTCTGCAGCCTCGAGAGGGCCTCTGGAGCTCGGGGGAGTCCGTTTTCGCCCTCGCGGAGGCTCGAGGGAAGCTTCTGCAGCCTCGGGAGTCAAAACGGGTCCGTTTCGGCACTTCCGGTATTTCCGGAAGGCCCATTTTTCAGCCTCCCGAGGCTGCAGAGGCTTCCCTCAAGCCTCTGGGAAGGCGAAAACAGCCTCAAACAGGCTGGAAATCAGCTGGGAGGTGCACACATGCGCAGTGCAGGTAAGTTTGGCTGGGGCTCATGTGCCTGCAAAAATGGCTCTGCGTGGCACCTGTGACACACGTGCCATAGGTTCGCCATCACAGTGCTAGATTTTTTCTAGTCAGTACACTGGAAAGTGGTGTGGCCATAAGCACTTTCACCACTACTGTTCCTTTCTCAATAATCAATAGGTCTGAGAAGTGCTATTGGCAATTCTGCAGTAGTAATAGTGCAACAACCATAATGTAGACCAGCAGTTCCCAACCTTTCCAGCTTGCCAGACTGGCAGGGAGAGTGGAGGGTTCCATGTGAGTGGCAGGTGCCCACGTGAGCATGCATATTTTGTGCATTTGTACAAGCGGCGAGGCATGTGTCCGCTTTCACAAATGGATCTTTGCATGTATGCTCGCCCACTGCTGGTTCCAAACAGGTTGCGGTCTGGTGGTGGTCTGGTTCCAAACAGGTTGCAGCCCAGTAGTGGGCCAACGCCTGGGGGATTGGGGAACCTTGATATAGACCACTGCCTATAACATCATGCGTAGTATCAGACTACACCATTCTGCTCTTCCCTTTAGCTAAAGCACAAATGATGGAATACTGTGCACATAAAGTACTCCATCAATAGAAGCAAAGCTGTCACAAAATAATGAAGAGTAGATTTCAATTTTCTGTCTTTTATATACTCTTTCTTAATAATCCTGTTGCAAAAAAAGTCATTTCTTGCTTGCAATTTCCTTTACTACAGGGTTTTTCAATTTGGTAAGCAGGAGGGGGAAGGCTGTTATTATAATATTGACATCTGAGCTAACCCCATCTACCTCTGCTATTTTCCCCCTTCCCAGGAAAAGCTAGATTCACACATTATGCAGTTTGCTTAATTTTAACTTAGCATCATGTTGTATGAACCTAGCCATTGTGTTTTGCACCATGTATAAATAATTTTGTATTATTTGTATTATTGAGGAGCAAGTATACCAAACCAGCAATTATATGAAGAACATGCAAAATCTGTACCTGGACAAATTGTGTTTTGCATGCACCACTGGCCCTGTACAAAAGGGACTTGGTAAATATGTAACATAAGCAAGAACTTTCTTTGTTAACACATCAATAATGGCTATTATTCCAACATGTAATCAATATAGTAATAAAAAGATATCCAAGGAGAACCAAATACAGATTAGATTAGATTCAACTTGCCAACTAATAAGTCGGTTTTCATCTGGAACAAAATGAGACTGAAGCTGACCTCAATTACTGCTATGGGGACAGTTTTTCATAAAGGCAATGTCATATCACCTTATTTGTTATTAAATGCAAGAGATTTTGAGAAGAGCCTCCTCTTTAGAAATTAAAGTGTAAGCCAGTCTGGGAAAATATTCATATATTTGGCACCCAAACTGTCCCAGTGTTTGAAAGTTAAGTAAAAGAGTTTGGAACTGGCCACAAAAGCAAGTGAGCAGGTAGTAGTGCTTGCTTAAATTTCAGTGGCAGAGTTGGACTGAGGTTTATTGCCCTTTCAACATTCACCTATTTGTTAAACCCTCATTTGATTCAGATAGCAAAGAGAGAGCCGGTATGGCATGCAGGTAGAAGACACTTCATGCCCTTGATGACAGCCATCGCTGTTAAAAAGTAGAAACTTGAAGGATCCCAAAGTATATGTGCTATGGAATACAACAAAAGTCTCTTCCCTACTACCTATCCAAATGGTACCTTAATATTCAACTACTTCGCAACTCGTTGAATTTGGAACTCAGTGCATTTTGATATGAAAATTTTGTCCCAGTACTCATCATTTGTTTGATACTCAATTCACAAGCTAGAACTTATTGATGATGGCTGCCTTGTGATTCACTACAGGTAGTCCTCAACGTACAACCACAATTGAGCCCAAACTTTATGTTGCTAAGTGAGAAAATTGTAAAGTGAGTTTTGTTCCATTTTACACCCTTTCTTGCCACACTTGTTAGGTGATTCACTGTAGTGGTTCAGTTAGTAACACGGTTGTTAAGTAAATCTGGTTTCCCCATTGACTTTGCTAGTCAGAAGGTTACAAAAGGGGATTGATCACGTGTCCCTTGGACACTGCAACTCATAAATATGGGTCAGTTGTCAAGCATCCTAATGTAGATCACGTGATCATGGAGATGCTGCAGTGGTCATAAGTGAAAAACGG